CATAGGCCTTGTAGTTTCAGATACATAGGCCTTGTAGTTTCAGATACATAGGCCTTGTAGTTTCAGATACATAGGCCTTGTAGTTTCAGATACATCAGGCCTTGTAGTTTCAGATACATGGGCCTTGTAGTTTCAGATATTGGCCTTGTAGTTTCAGATACATAGGCCTTGTAGTTTCAGATACATAGGCCTTGTAGTTTCAGATACATAGGCCTAGTAGTTTCAGGCCATTGTAGCCTTGTTTCAGATACATAGGCCTTGTAGTTTCAGATACATAGGCCTTGTAGTTTCAGATACAGGCCTTGGCCTTGTAGTTTCAGATACATAGGCCTTGTAGTTTCAGATACATAGGCCTTGTAGTTTCAGATACATAGGCCTTGTAGTTTCAGATACATTGGCCTTGTAGTTTCAGATACATTGGCCTTGTAGTTTCAGATACATAGGCCTTGTAGTTTCAGATACATAGGCCTTGTAGTTTCAGATACATTGGCCTTGTAGTTTCAGATACATAGGCCTTGTAGTTTCAGATACATTGGCCTTGTAGTTTCAGATACATTGGCCTTGTAGTTTCAGATACATAGGCCTTGTAGTTTCAGATACATAGGCCTTGTAGTTTCAGATACATAGGCCTTGTAGTTTCAGATACATTGGCCTTGTAGTTTCAGATACATTGGCCTTGTAGTTTCAGATACATAGGCCTTGTAGTTTCAGATACATAGGCCTTGTAGTTTCAGATACATAGGCCTTGTAGTTTCAGATACATAGGCCTTGTAGTTTTTCAGATACATAGGCCTTGTAGTTTCAGATTAGGCCTTGTAGTTTCAGATACATAGGCCTTGTAGTTTCAGATACATAGGCCTTGTAGTTTCAGATACATAGGCCTTGTAGTTTCAGATACATAGGCCTTGTAGTTTCAGATACATAGGCCTTGTAGTTTCAGACACAGGCCCTGGTAGGCCTTGTAGTTTCAGATACATAGGCCTTGTAGTTTCAGATACATTGGCCTTGTAGTTTCAGATACATAGGCCTTGTAGTTTCAGATACATAGGCCTTGTAGTTTCAGATACAGATACATTGGCCTTGTAGTTTCAGATACATAGGCCTTAGTTTAGTTTCAGATACACAGGCCTTGTAGTTTCAGATACATAGGCCTTGTAGTTTCAGATACATTGGCCTTGTAGTTTCAGATACACAGGCCTTGTAGTTTCAGATACATAGGCCTTGTAGTTTCAGATACATAGGCCTTGTAGTTTCAGATACATAGGCCTTGTAGTTTCAGATACATAGGCCTTGTAGTTTCAGATACATAGGCCTTGTAGTTTCTGATACATAGGCCTTGTAGTTTCAGATACATAGGCCTTGTAGTTTCAGATACATAGGCCTAGTAGTTTCAGATACATAGGCCTTGTAGTTTCAGATACATAGGCCTTGTAGTTTCAGATACATTGGCCTTGTAGTTTCAGATACATAGGCCTTGTAGTTTCAGATACACAGGCCTTGTAGTTTCAGATACATAGGCCTTGTAGTTTCAGATACACAGGCCTTGTAGTTTCAGATACACAGGCCTTGTAGTTTCAGATACATAGGCCTTGTAGTTTCAGATACATAGGCCTTGTAGTTTCAGATACATAGGCCTTGTAGTTTCAGATACATTGGCCTTGTAGTTTCAGATACATTGGCCTTGTAGTTTCAGATACATAGGCCTTGTAGTTTCTGATACATAGGGCCTTGTAGTTTTTCAGATACATAGGCCTTGTAGTTTCAGATACATAGGCCTTGTAGTTTCAGATACATAGGCCTTGTAGTTTCAGATACATAGGCCTAGTAGTTTCAGATACATAGGCCTTGTAGTTTCTGATATATAGGCCTTGTAGTTTCTGATATATAGGCCTTGTAGTTTCTGATATATAGGCCTAGTAGTTTCTGATATATAGGCCTAGTAGTTTCTGATATATAGGCCTTGTACTTTCTGATATATAGGCCTAGTAGTTTCTGATACATTGGCCTTGTAGTTTCTGATATATAGGCCTAGTAGTTTCTGATATATAGGCCTTGTAGTTTCTGATATATAGGCCTTGTAGTTTCTGATATATAGGCCTTGTAGTTTCTGATATATAGGCCTAGTAGTTTCTGATATATAGGCCTTGTAGTACTTTCTGATACATAGGCCTTGTAGCCTTTCAGATATATAGGCCTTGTATATATAGGCCTTGTAGTTTCTGATATATAGGCCTTGTAGTTTCTGATATATAGGCCTAGTAGTTTCAGATATATAGGCCTTGTAGTTTCTGATACATAGGCCTTGTAGTTTCAGATACATTGGCCTTGTAGTTTCAGATACATAGGCCTTGTAGTTTCAGATACATAGGCCTTGTAGTTTCAGATATATAGGCCTAGTAGTTTCAGATACATTGGCCTTGTAGTTTCAGATACACAGGCCTTGTAGTTTCAGATACATAGGCCTTGTAGTTTCAGATACATAGGCCTTGTAGTTTCAGATACATAGGCCTTGTAGTTTCAGATACATAGGCCTTGTAGTTTCAGATACATTGGCCTTGTAGTTTCAGATACATAGGCCTTGTAGTTTAGTAGTTTCAGATACATAGGATACATAGGCCTTGTAGTTTCAGATACATAGGCCTAGTAGTTTCAGATACATAGGCCTTGTAGTTTCAGATACATAGGCCTAGTAGTTTCAGATACATTGGCCTTGTAGTTTCATAAATGCAGTAACCTTTGAAAAAACAGGCTGTGTAGAGGTCAAAGGTAGTAGCTTAATTTGTAATGAAAATGTGCCAAAATATTGACATTTGTAGTCTCATAAACCACATGCTTGATACAGATATGGCTGAGTAAGTGCAGGCAGGTTGGATCAGCATTCTGTCGGTTTGTATCCGGCTTCAACTCTAGAGTTTCAGAGATGTTAGACACGTAACAGTTACACGTACCAGTCAGACAGCTGACTCCACCATGAGCTCACATTAACTTTAACTTATCAAACAGACAGTAAGCATACAAATTGTTTTATTAGAACTGGATTTTATGTCAGCTAAACCATGAGGTCGTATATCATGATTTTATACGATACAGCCATGGCAGCCATCACAATGTTACGGCTTGTAAACAGTCTCAGCAAGAACGTTCAGATATGCTAAATAAATAACAGTTATAACAATAGCAATAATAACAATAACAGCAATATGAACAATTATAACACCCTGACATGCACAGCATGAACACTGACATATAACAAAAACAGTCACCAACACGACAATGTCTGCTTGGAGGGTATGTTGCTGTATTACGTAAACTTCCGTATAAATATTCACAACCCATAAAGCAATGAGATTCTCAGTCCGTAGCCATGGTAGCACTGACAACACCTGTCCTTCATGAATAAAACCTCCTCACTTCACGTCCCAAGTGAGTGAGTGAGTGAATGCTGTTAAATGCTGAGACAGCAATATTACCCCTTGACCTAACAAGTTCTCTAGTCTGCATTAGGTGACCAGCAAGTTCTCTTGCTTGGTGTAGGTGACACAGCAAGTTCTCTTGCTTGGTGTATGTGACACGGCAAGTTCTCTTGCTTGGTTATGTGACACAGCAAGTTCTCTTGCTTGGTGTAGGTGACACAGCAAGTTCTCTTGCTTGGTGTATGTGACACAGCAAGTTCTCTTGCTTGGTGTAGGTGACACGGCAAGTTCTCTTGCTTGGTGTAGGTGACACAAGGCAAGACACAGCAAGTTCTCTTGCTTGGTGAAGGTGACACAGCAAGTTCTCTTGCTTGGTGTAGGTGACACAGCAAATTCTCTTGCTTGGTGTAGGTGACACAGCAAGTTCTCTTGCTTGGTGTAGGTGACACAGCAAGTTCTCTTGCTTGGTGTAGGTGACACTGAAGTCACAGTCCATACTGTTACAATGCTTTGTGTTGGAAAAAATCTGAGGGGAGGTGTTTTATATTTCTTACTAAGAACAATTGGAAATGACACTTATATGTACCATTTATCAACATTTACCAACACTTTTCATGTTTCAAACATACTTTGCATAAAAAGGAAACACATAAAATATCTCTAGCTGGCATATTTGAACTTGGAAAAGAAACTTTTACAGGCATTGTTGCAAACTGTTCAAATGCAAAATAGATCTTTGGTAAGGGACACCACAATTAATAGGTATAAAATCCACAAGATTGTATATATATAATCACAATGATATCACACTTTACCTCAGTTTAGCGGGCTCTTACAGATGGGTGTACTCTGGCATCGTGAATCCTTAGCCTTGTTTTTACCTAGATGTTCGTGGGAAAGTTAAACCCAACACTTGACCCATTTAACCCATTATGTTTACAGTAAATAAGACACCCGACCATTCATGTTAACATGTCAAACTTACAGTATCAGTTTAATAGGGGGAAAAGATATCAAGCAAATTTCACCACTCAGTTTCATAACATGATCATATTCACTTTTCATGTGAATTTCATAAGAATGAAAACATAACAAAATGAAAACAAATAAAAGTCCCTCATAAAGATTAACATGAATACTTGGGCTTTTTAACAGCTTTGTCCTTGGAGAAGATTTCGAAACTGCCTTGACTCTTAAACACAATGATTTCTCTCCCATCTTGTTTGTACACCTGAAATTTACTGAACTAATTGCACCCTCCTCATCAATTCAAGAAAGGAATATGATGTGACATTTGATATGGGCCAATATAGGAACAGACCGGTCTCCAAGCAGAGGAAACATACTATAACAAGTGTATATAGCTGAAATAACAAAAATGGAAATACACGATTAGGTTCAGAAGGGATAGTACATCGGCCAGCAAGTTGAGGCCTGAACAGAACATCTGTAACAATCTCATCACCAGTTGCTTCTCACATCAGCTGTCAGAACTGATGAGGATACAAAGTGGGATGGAGATTCCAGACACCCTAATATTTTCTTTTTTCACATGTATTTCAAGATTGCCGTGTTCTGCTGTCTCACAAATCATCCATATTCCATTCATTAGTTTAAAAGTTCTACAAACATCATAACATTTTACTCTGTGATGACAGTTGTTTGACGGCGCCTTCCAAGTCGAATATATGTTGGTCAGCTGCTTCAGGTGCAAGTTGCCGGATCGCGGTTGCTAGGTTGAGAAGGTAGTCAATGTTCTTCCCGCTTGGTCCGACAGAGTGGTAGATCTGATGTGCGATGTCCTCCAGAGGGGCCGGGCCCAAGTAAAACGGGTTGTCAGTGTTACCAATGTACAGCGTAAGATGGAACTCGGGCATGGTAGCGTCTTGAGGATGGAAGGTCACCACTGTTTGCTCGTATCCACCCTTCTCGCGGAAGTTGAGGTGTGAGATCACCTTCTCCACATCCGACTCATGGATCTTGTATGCAACTCCCCACACCACCTCCTGAATCAAGAACAAACAGTTACTGGTGTTGAAATAGGTCCGCTGGGTTGGGTTTTACACTGCTTTTAGCAATATTCCAGCCAGTAACAGTAAGCACTCATAGAAATGAGCTCCAACCATTGCACCCAGGCCCAGGTAGTGAGTGAGTTTAGTTTAGTTTTGCACCGATATTAGCACTGTTCCAGCAATATCACAGCGGGAGACACCAGAAATGGGCTTCACACACTGTACCCCTACGGGGAATCGAACCTGGGTTGTCGGCATGACGAGCGAAACGCATTAACGACTAAGCTACCCCACCGCCTTGCACCTGGGTAGGGAATCAAACCCAAATCTTTGGCGTGATGAGCAAACACTGTAACCACAAGGCTAGTCCACCACAGAAGCCTTCATATGGCAGTAGGATATACTATGAATATTGAATTTCTCCTCCAGAAAATATTAACACTTATACTATGATCAGAGAAGATGACTATGGGGAATAAATGGAAGCCGCAAAAGATTCTACTTGCCTCTGTATTACTGGATGGAACAAGAGTCACAACACGGCCAGGCTGGAAGTAAAAACAGTTCATTACACATCACATTCTCATACTATAACGCTTTGTCTGCTTGTTGGTTAATGCCACATTCAGCAGTATTGAAGCCATGTAGCAGTTGTCTGTACATGATGAAATACAGGCCTCATATACTGGTTATTAATGATGAACTAGCCAGAGTCTCACACATTGGATACGATGACACATGTCACCGAGTACAAACATAATATCAGTGTAGGAAAGATAGCCCGTCCCAACGTCCGAGACGGATGAATTTTGTGGAGGACGGGTTAAAAAAATATCTAGTCCGTCCTCATGTCGGGTCAATTTTAGCAAATCAATGACATATATATAATGATTATAACCTTTTTGAATATTTACTGCCGAAGGTGTTTTATTTATATTTGGAGGACAGGCCAGATTTTGGCAGGACTGGTAAAAATTGACCTGCCAGTCCTGTGGACAGGCTAGATTTTCTACATCTTTCCTACACTGATAATATCCATTTCATTGCCTCTGCATGTATGGATTCCTGGAAACCCAACAATCAGGGTATGACAACCTCAGTTATAACACGTTTAACAAACAGGTTTTAAAGGAACAAGCAGCAGAAAATAAAATACATTATTAGTGTATGAAATAAGCCCAAAAACCAGCAAGTGTATGAAATAAGCCCCCAAACCAGCCAGACCAAATATGGTGTATTTACTCAGATGTATATAACATCTAAATTTTTACCAGACCATCGGGCTGGCTAGCTGTAAATTTAGACCGTCCGTCAGAAATCTTGACCGTCTCAAGCTGGCGGACGGGCCTTATTTCATACACTGACATTATATATAATCCCAGTGACCCCCAGTTCTGTGTTCAATTTTGGTTGTGGTCATCAATTCCGTACACATGTATGATGGGGGTCAGCAATTTTGTCCATACAATTATTTTAGAATTATGCTTTAAATTATGGGAGTGTCATTGATTCTGTACATGACATATGCAGGGGGGTCATTTGTTTTGTACATATATGGGGAGAGAGAGAGAGAGAGAGAGAAGATCATTCACATTGCAAATGTGTATGTTTCTCCATAAAAATCATCATCACTCCCTAGCCATAAATTATGAACGGTCCCTTAGTCCGGCACAAATCACACACTACCAACACTTCTCTATTGTCTATTGACACATTTTAGGCAATTAACGTCAGTCCGCATGACCTATATAGCTGAACTTGACCCAATTCCGATGTCCTTAGAAAAACAACATCTTACCGATTATGCATTTCCTGATTCGGCAATTAAATACAACTTATATATACATCTCGCCTCTACCTAGCCCCCATCCTCAACAGGACCTCAACAGCTGTTGTGCAGATCTAGTGACATGATCGATTCCATGTCGTGTCAACATAAGCATCGAGCTGTTTACGGGAGATAGATCTATATAGTCAATACCTTGCCTGGTACGCCGCGATGGTCTTCGCTTCCTTGCCAAAACCGCCGCGCAAATCCTTTTATAAATCCAACAACTTTAGTCTCATATGGAAAGTCCACCTTCCATATGAGAGACCCGTAGCCAAATACCCACATTTTCGACTCCCAACTTCAGCGACTCGTTTACAACTGTTTGCCAGAGCTTCCAGTGTCTGTGACGTCAAAAGTTGTCTTAGGGTCAGAGGTCAAAGGTTATGTTTATGAACACAGGTAGATTGTAAAATCCTCCGCGAGTGCAACGTGCGTCCCAAAACACATTGCCCAATTCTTGGCTAGTGCTGGAATTGAAGCACCGGATCCATATGGGATGGGTATTTTAATAATAACCCTAATACTTGGGCCTGCTGGGGTTGTTTGTATAATGGAGTATGGGAAGAGACGAGAAAGACGAATCTGAGGTCATGCCGCCGATGATGTAATCAGCTCACATCTAAAACATAGTGTATATAGTTCTGCTTATGGAAAGCGAGTTATCCCAAAACTGGCAGTCTCCCGATGACGTAATAAGGGAGGTGTTATAATCCACTGGTGTATTTATGTGGAAAGATGTATTTATGTGTATATTTATGTATTTAGTTGAAATGTACCGTGAACGTAAAAGGTCTTCGAAATGTGTTCATTTGTCAGCAGTTTTACTTGTCAGTATGAGGTAACTACACAGTTTAAAAAGCTGACAATAGCGTGGCCATTCAAGATGAACATTTGGCAGGCTGAAACAATCAAACTGGTGGGGTCGAGACAGATCCAGGCAAAACTAACAGAACATATTAAAGGTGTAGTACCACCTCTTCGTTAAAATGCTCAAACCCCATATTACAAACTAATAACAATAACTAACTGTTAACATTACCAACACTAGTATATACATGACACTTCTATGGATAACAACTTCTTTATGCATTAATCCAATCTTATTGGCTTCGTAATCTTTTTGGCTTCGTAATCTTATTGACTTCGTAAATATATTGTTATCTTTGCACATTCTCCCTCCTTGTATTGTGTAAACATGTTTTATCTGTATATATTCACTCTTTGTACTGACTCAGTATTCACCTGATGAAGGAGCAAGAATTAGCCCTGAAACGTCGTGTAAAGAATAAAAAGAAGTTGTTATCCATAAAAGTGTCATGTATTCATGTTCGTCCAACTTCTAAATGCCCTTCAAAAACTATAATACTAATACTAACTATTACACTGCTACCTGTACTTGTAACTAAACACTGATATCGATACCAATACTAGCTATTACACTGCACCCTGTACTATAAGGGTAATGCTATTTTTTGAGGGCATTATCATTTGCAGAAGCCCGAGGTCTTCCATTAACTGCCCGACGAAGGAGGGCAGTTGATAAAGACCGAGGGCTTCTGCAAATGATAATGCCCTCAAAAATAGCATTACCGTTATTACTGCTAAAATACATGGAATTTGTGTTGAAAAGAAAAGGAAACAATGAAGGAATTTGACTGTAAGTTTACCCAAATCAACTTCTGACGGGGTTGACTGCCCGAATGCAATTACGTCATCGAACAATTCAAGTGACGTCACAACAGAAAGTGACGATATTCGACCTTGGCCTTTGACAAGACCATAGCCTGCAACATGTCAAGCTATGACAGTGTTCGGTTTTGGTCCATCAACAGTCTTAATAATGCAATTGTTTAGGTTAGCACCAACAAGAAAGCCAATATTACCGCTATTTAAAGCGGGAATTTGGGTTGTTTTGACTTGTTTGACCCAAAATATCTGCCAGTCGAAAGCCAATTAATGTCGAACTATGACGTCACTTGACAACAGAACTGATAGTGGCCCGTCGTTAAGGTTGAGCGGTCCAATATCATTTGCAGCGGACCGCAAATTTCTGATAACGGGAAGGCCGTTTCATGATAATTCCATGTATTTTAGCTATAATATAAGACTATTACACAGCACCCTGTACTTGTAACTAAACACTGATATCGATACCAATACTAGCTATTACACAGCACCCTGTACTTGTAACTAAACACTGATATCGATACCAATACTAGCTATTACACTGCACCCTGTACTTGTAACTAAACACTGATATCGATACCAATACTAGCTATTACACTCTGTACTTGTAACTAAACACTGATATCGATACCAATACTAGCTATTACACAGCACCCTGTACTTGTAACTAAACACTGATATCAATACCAATACTAGCTATTACACAGCACCCTGTACTTGTAACTAAACACTGATATCGATACCAATACTAGCTATTACACAGCACCCTGTACTTGTAACTAAACACTGATATCGATACCAATACTAGCTATTACACTGCACCCTGTACTTGTAACTAAACACTGATATCGATACAATGTGAAGCTATTACCCTGTACTTGTAACTAAACACTGATATCAATACCAATACTAGCTATTACCCTGTACTTGTAACTAAACGCACTGATATAACTAAACACTGATATCGATACCAATACTAGCTATTACACAGCACCCTGTACTTGTAACTAAACACTGATATCGATACCAATACTAGCTATTACACTGCACCCTGTACTTGTAACTAAACACTGATATCGATACCAATACTAGCTATTACACTGCACCCTGTACTTGTAACTAAACACTGATATCAATACCAATACTAAATACTTATTTGAACTTTACTATATAATTTACTGACACAATCACATGAAATCTGAGACTGCCACATAAACATGTAGATATATTTATTTACGACAAAATCACCACAGTTTCAAATATAATGATATGGCCTGACGTGCATCAGTGTTACAGCCCATCCACCTAAACAAGGAATGTTCTGCCATTAAATTTCTAAAATTACTCGATATCCAGGCCACTGATCGGAACTGGCACAGCTGATAACTGGCACAGGTCATACTTCCAGTAGTCGTCAAATATTAATAAAAACTCTTAAGATCCACTGCCTGTCCACCCCTGTAACTATGGCAACCGATATTTAATTTCTTTCTTATGCAGTAGTGGTCTGTCTCACATTCCCTCAGCGATATTTTTTCCCATTTGCAAGTAAAGATTTTCCTCAGGTTCCGAATCGCCCCTTTCACCGGGGCATCTGTTGAATGTAAAGGGCAGTGTTTGTTTCCACGAAGCGTGTCAGATAAAGCACATGCTTGTGTCAATGAAAATAGCTAAAAGAAGAATTTGATTATATGTGTTATCAATTTTAATTATGATTTTGGCATTCAAACATAAAATCATTTGAAGATGATCATGAAATCAGGAAAGAGGTATCCTACAAGCAGATACACAATGTATGTGCGAGTTACCTGCTGTACACACACCTGTATAATGATACCCTCCCAACTGGGAATCCTACAAGCAGATACACACTGTATGTGCGGGTTACCTGCTGTACACACCACCTGTATAATGATACCCTCCCAACTGGGAATCCTACAAGCAGATACACAATGTATGTGCGAGTTACCTGCTGTACACACACCTGTATAATGATACCCTCTCAGCTGGGAATCCTACAAGCAGATACACAATGTATGTGCGAGTTACCTGCTGTACACACACCTGTATAATGATACCCTCCCAACTGGGAATGGTCGCTGTATTCAGTACCATCGGAATAATATGGGCCATGTTATTCCATCAGCCGATGACGCTGCAATCTTATGGCATTAGTTTGGTGGACGTTGTGCTTTATACTTCAAACGAATTACCATTGTTTTCCATTGTCATTTGTACATAGCGAGGCACAGAGGCGGACCACCTATATTCACTCGTCAACACCCATGGCTCGGTACAGCCACTGTTATCTGTGGTGAGTCTTTATCATATGGTGCTGCTGCCGACAGTGAGTGAGTGAGTGAGAGGGACGGAGCTTATATCAACGCGTGTACGGAAAACCAGTAAAGATACAGGTCTAACAGATGTTTATGAGGTCGTTAAAGTGCGAAGACATTGGGCCAGTGGGTATTTTCTCCCAGCAAGTCTTAATAAGGGTACTGATCTATGACTTCAACCTGTTGTCTAATAGAGAACCGTTTAATATTGCCAGCTAGGACTCACTGGCTGGTTTGAACGTAACCAAACTGGGCTTACGTCTTCAGCGTAATAAACTGAGACCAGGTTTATTGCATTTCTCGAGAGTCAATGGTTACCTGTAATCTTTGAAGATTTCGAGACACCAAAAGCTGCATGTTGGTTAATTTCCTCAACCTACACTAGAACGGTGGGAGCCCATCGGATGCTGGCTGTTGCTGGTTGATGGAAATATCACAGCAGTGCAAGCAGATCCGGATGTCTGATGCGTGGATGATGATATGACTGAAATTGACATGAATCCCATGTCTGTATTTTTTATAGCTTGCTATGCAATTGTATAGCGTATTAATGCCATGGTAATAGACCAATGAATAGAGATCTGGTTTATTTCAGGGAGTACATTAAACCCTATTTTGCCATTGCTATAATATGAACAAACCATATAGGTAAATGTGTATATACAAGCATTAACATTAATATTCAACATATGTGGAATATAAACAAACCATTTAGGTACATGTAGACGTACAAGCATTAACATTAATATTCAACAGATGTGGACGTACTGCAGTGAAGTTCTGTTCAATCGTATTCATAACACACCAACGACTGTTCAGTATTTTCAGGCAAAACAAAATGCATGCAATACAAAATGACTCTCATGTGATCCATGTTTGGTGGAGTAAACCAACAAATATTTATTGTCATGATTCACTTGATGCACAGTTAATGGATTTATATGAAGTATACTTAGTGGTAATACAACGTACACAGATTACCTGACACAGATTCCCATTTGGCATTTCTCGTGTCTGGGGTATTTACTCAACCTTATTTTTTAGGTCTGATGTGGTGAATGCATTGCACATGTCATGTAATATACACAACAAAGCACACGTGACACATGTGGTCTCACCCAAGGCAAGTGAGTTTGTTCATAAATTGCCTCTTCACCCAGCAGTGAATGGGTACCTGGTGGGATAAGTCATATGACTGTTAACCTTCTAGCACCTCAAAGGCACCATTGGTTATCCGGGGTAATACTGTGTTACCGCCTTGAGCACGCACAACTGCGTGGAAACAGGCGCTTTATAACTAGCCATTATTAAATAAATCATAATATGCTTGTGCGCGT